CTGATGGCAGCCTCACACCAGGTAACTGCCTCCAGCCTTGTGCTCCTCCGCTGCAGCCTGAGCCCCGATCTCACTGAGTCGGGCAGGCAGCACCCACTGGGTGTGACGGCCGCTGGGCTTGGTGCCTTCCTGCAAACCTCAGTGAGGATGGTGGCTACAAAAGGGCCACCATGGCAGGAGCCATCCCAGGGGTGTCCCAACAGCAGGGCAGGATTGAGCCGAGATGGAGATGGACACCCCAAAGCAGGATGCCTGACCACAGGTGCTGCTGGGACGGTGGGTGCCTGGGGCCCCTGTCCCAGGGCCATCTTGCCCACCCTCCATCCCTGTCCTGATGGAAGGGCTGTGTCAGCCCAGCCCCAGTCACAGGTAGCTGGAAGGATCCAGCCCTGAAGGAGGGAACCTGCTGGGTGCTGGGAGGTTGGGGAAGACCCAGCGAGATTTTTTAGCACCAGTATGGTAATGAATAAGTTGGTTTTATGGGTAGAAATGTGAACATGCTGGTCTTCAGCTGTAGGTGCTGGGCATGGGAGAGTGAAGGGAGGTGTTGTTGCCGCACAGGGGGACCCTCACGTCCATAGCTTGGGTGTGGGGTGAGGGCTCAACACTGGTTCATGCTGGTTGCAATGGGCAAAAGACCACATCCAGAGCACGTAGCAAAGAGAAATCAGTGTCCATTTTGGTTTTGCTTAAATGGCTTCTCAGCCTTGGCTCTCCCCTGAGTCTGGTGACCCTACAAAGGAAGAGTGGGGACAACATGGGTCCACGCTCAGCACAGGGTGCAAACCCCCAAGGCCTTGGGAATGTGACCATCACCGTAGCTGATCCCTGATGACAGCGTGGTCGTGCCATGCTTGTCCCCGTGATTCTGTGCCTGCCCTCCATGGATGAGACCCCATGGGTGGTGGGGCCAGCATGCTAGTGTTCTGCATCTGGTTGTGGGCCAGGCGCTGTCTGTGGGCTCTTTCTCTCCTTTCCATCCTAATCCTCAGTGCCAGGGTGATGCTAATGACTCCTGCTCCCTCCAGGGCAGCTCATCTCCCCAGCGCATATCACACCCCTGCTACCCCAAGGGATACCAGGAGAACATCACCACGGCAGACCTCTATGACAGTCCCTGTGTCCGTGCACCGAGCACACCCAGCCCTGCACAAGTCCTCACGGTGACGGGGACAGGCGAACCAGCAGCGTGCAGCACCGCCATCCAGAAACTCTTCAACTTCACCTGTGGGGCCAACAGGACGTGCGGGTTCAACGGGGTTTATCAGCCGCCCGTGAGGGGACAGTTCTTTGTAAGGCGCCTCCGTCTGACAGTCCCTGTGTCCGTGCACCGAGCACACCCAGCCCTGCACAAGTCCTCACGGTGACGGGGACAGGCGAACCAGCAGCGTGCAGCACCGCCATCCAGAAACTCTTCAACTTCACCTGTGGGGCCAACAGGACGTGCGGGTTCAACGGGGTTTATCAGCCGCCCGTGAGGGGACAGTTCTTCGTAAGGCACCTCTGTCCCCGTGGCTGTGGTGGGGGGGTGGGGTTTTGGGGCACCAGAAGCTGGCCATGACCCCAGGAAAAGTGCTGTAGGAAAAAAGTCTAAATAGTGCCAGCCCTGAAAGCTGGGATGTGCCCAATGCATGGAGACATGCAGGGTGTTCACCAGCGTGCCAGGCAGACCCAGACCTCTGTTGTCACAGCACCAATCTCTTTCGGTGTGGGGAGCAGTCCGAGGGCTCCCTCCCAGTGGGTCGGCAGGCATCACCCTGCGGTGCTGAGAGGTGGCCTTAGGGACCCCTGCAGAGCACCCGGAGGGAGGGGTGGGGGGGTGGCAGTGGCCTGGGTGCATCACTAACCTGCCACCTTTGGTCTTAAAACCCCACAAGCCTTTTCAGGGCTTTATCACAACCTTCACTTTCTGAAGCTGACTGGAGGGCAGTCCCTGAGCTCGGTCAATGCCACCATCGGGCAATTCTGCACCAGGAGCTGGGAGAAGGTGAGATCCTGCCCACGTTTCGCCTGGGCGCTGGGCAGCCTGAGGGCTCATCCGCAGCCCATCCTTTGCTGCGCTGGAGGGAGCTGGGAGGAGCACAAAGATCTCTGGACAGGGAGAGCGATGGGAGAGCAGCCTGCAGCCTCCCGGGTCCTCCTTGCTCCCCAAGCCCAGGCACTCCTGGGTCTTTGCTCCCAGCTGCACTGTGGGGCTCTTCCCCACAGTGTGGGTGCATCGAGCACTGCTCCGTGCTGGAAGCCCCCCCCAATTGCTCTTCCACCTCTGCAGGTGCAGAAGGAGTTCCCCACCACGAACAGGACCCACCTCCGTGACGCCTGTGCAGCCAGCTCCTATGCCCTCACCCTTCTCCTGCAAGGCTACAAATTCAATCACACGATGTGGCTTAACATCCACTTCGTCTGGCAGGTGGGAAAGTGCCCGGCAGCCCCCAGCTTCCACGCTTTGTACCGTGAAATGGCTCGTGCCCACCTGGCCGCTGCCCCTGCCCTGCCTGAATGGGGGAGCAGGGGATAACAGGGCAGCACGGTCCACTGCCCGTGCCCAGGGCAGCTCTTGAGTTGCACTCACAGGTACCTGCTGGGACATCTGGCCTGGGCCATTTATGCTCTCCCCCAGCTTGCCTCACTGACGGGGTATCTGCAGCCCAAGGTGAGCACAGATACGGTGGCTGTGGAGCAGGACTTGGGGGTGCAACAGCAAACGTCTTCTCTAGCTCTCCTGCTTGCATGGTACTTTGCAGCCTTTCACATCCCTCTTCCTTCTCTGTCTGCACAGGTCGCTAACATAGATGCGGGCTGGACTCTGGGCTACATGCTCAATCTCACCAACGTGATTCCCTCGGAGACTCCCCAGAGAGTCACAGGGCTCCAGAGAAGCAACTGGATAGCAGCCACGGTTTTACTGGCCATCATGCTCATCCTCATCTTCTGCCTGCTCACAGTCATATGCTGCCAGAAAAACTCCTCCGGTTATGAGAGTCTCTAGCAGCGCTGGCTCCAGAGGCCACCGAAGCCACTTAGTCCTTCTGCCACACTTGTGCGAGGAGCTGCAGACTGGGGACTCACCCCCACGTGTCCAGGAGCTGTGAACTTGTAATGTGGGGCACCTGCGTCCTGGGCTGGTGAGCTGGAACCAGCACAGGCTTTAAAAAATCCTCCTGTAGCTGTGTGCTGTCTGGTTTTCCTTTCCCCTTGCTGCTGGTTGGAGATGCTCTAGGACGGAGGGGATGGCCGTGTGGGGCAGAGGCTCAGCACTGGGAGTGTGGAGACCACAGTGATGTGGGGTGACTGGAGATGGTGGGACCAGTGGGTCAGGGAAGGGAAAAGGGATGTCTGGCAGCAATGGGATCATCATGGGGCTGGTTACAGCCTGCAGCAGGTGCCCGATGTGGGGTGGATGTGTCCTGTCCCATCCCAGGACAAAAGTCTGCATTGCCCGTGGCCACCAAGAGGGTGGTCAAACATTGGAACAAGCTCCCTGGAGAGGTGGTCGATGCCCCAAGCCCGTCAGTGTTTAAGGGGTTCTATTCTATTCTATTCTATTCTATTCTATTCTATTCTATTCTATTCTATTCTATGCCAGTCAGAGGGGCAGTGGCAATGGGGCTATGGGGGGGAGCTGGCCTGGTAGACAGGGCTCAGGCTCTGCCCAGGACTGGGAAGTCCTGTGAGGTGGGGGATGGCAGCAGCCCCCTGCTCTCCTGCACGAGGTTCCTCTCCGGCCTGGCTGCACCCTGTGTCTGTGCCAGACAGACATCTCACCCTCCCTTTCCAGCACACAGGGCTATTTGGGAATGCTGCTGGGGCATGTCAGGGGCAGCTCCTGGGGCACCCTTTACATTTTTGGTGAGTCACGCTGGCAGCCAGAGGATGGGTGAGGTGAGACACCCCGGCTCTCAGAAGGAAAAGGCCTGTCCTTTCCTTCAGACAGAAACAATAAAATCATAACCGTTCAGGAGCAAAGTAACAGTCATTTCCCCAGTCAGCAATTACGGTCATTGTAAATTTGTTGACATTTACAATGTTTATTTGGATGACGAGAGCTGCGAGACACCTGCCTTTCTGCAGAGACACTAAAGGTCAGGTCCTTGCTGCTGGGAGGCAAATAGCAAGATGAATCATCCACGGGGCAGATAGCGAATGAGCAGAACCAAAGGCAAAGGCGAGGGCGCAGCTGTGGGCAGGACCCAGCTCAGCCGCATGCACAGGGTCAGGGCAGGACTCGCAGCCTGCTGGAGTCTCAGCCTGACACCCACGGTGTCCAGGCCTTCTGCTGGTGGGACAGTCTGGTCTCCAGGAAGACACTCAGGAACATCAATCCCTTTATCCCAGAAGAAAAGGAAGATGAGATGAGATGGACCCTCTGGGGAGGCATGGACCACACTTCTGACTTTGGGTGCTCAATTTGCCTTCTGTCTCCAAGACCATCAGATAAGCCTGAATGATACACCCTCAGGAGAGCCAGCCGGAGTGCCGCAGAGCCTTGCACACCCTCACGCTGGCAGACCTGGCAGGGACCTGCCTGGCTGCCGGCAACCGTGGTCAGACCCAGCATCGCACGAACCACCCTGACACCAAGTGCCTGCAGCCATGCACTAACAGTCTGGCACTTGGGGAGCTCTTCCACGGCCAGGCTGGCTCTCCACGGCCCCACGTGCCGCTCAGTGGGGGATGGAGGCCAAATCTGTAACAGGCATAGAGGTGTAAGGGGGCAGATAGGCATGGCTGGGGTGCCTGTGGTGCGTAGGCTGGTCCCAGCAGGTCTCCACAGGAATGGAGCTTCTCTGGAAACCTCATGTGGTGCCTGTCTGCATGTTGGGGGCAGTCCTGTGGAAGGCCAGATCTCGGTTCTTCAGTGCTGTAGAGATTAACACGCTCAGCATTGTTGAATGAGCCTCAGGCTGCCAGTCCTGCTGGCAGAAGTGCAGGGCACCGCAGTGCAGACAGCCCTCCAGCTCCGATATGCTCCTGCCGCGCTCCGAAACGCAGCCGGGCTCCTACACCCACAAGAGCAGGAGCAGGGCAGCAAGCCCCAAGGCAAAGGTGAGGATGATGAAGCTGACGGCTGCAGCCCACAGGGAAGGAACGTGCCCCTTCACCCACACCGGAGCCTCCGCCGGGATCATGTTGGTGAGGTTCAGCATGTACCCCAGCGTCCAGCCGATGTCGGCGTTCCCAGCCTGCCCGAGGAGAGAGGGGACGATGAGTTAGCCCTGCAGGAAAGCCACACCAACGACGCAGGGCCACCTACTCCTGCACGGCCCAAACGGGGTGCAGTAGCTGGCCCCACACGCAGTGCCATGCTGGGATGTGGGGCAGGCAGGGCTTTCTGGACCGTGGCTCTCATGGCACCCCGACGCGGGAAGCTGGCTCTTTCCCCTGGTGCTGCTCTACTCCTGCCTGCAGGCTGGGTTTGCTGCCTACCTTCATCTGGAAGAAGATGTTGTTCCAGCTGGTCTCATTGAACTTGTAGGCATCGAGGAGGAGTGTGAGGATGTAGTTGGCATTGGCACAGTATTTAGGCAGTCGCTCAGGATTCTCCTTGGGGTAGCGAGAAGACAGCTGGGGTGGGGACATGTTTGGGGAGGAGGGGATGTTATTTGCAGGCAATTTCCATGCAGGGACAATGCCCTGACAACTGCTGCATGAGGGGCAACGGCTCCGCAGCCACCAGCATCCAGAAAAAGACTCCTGGACCAGGCAGGTATTTTGGACCTGTCCACACAGGGCAACTCCTTTGAGGGGGATTTACTCTCCACATGGAAACAGAGACATATTGGAGCTCCTCCTGCCCCAGATCCTCCCATCTCAGCCTCCTCGTGCAAGGGGCCCCTGCTCTCTGTCCCGTGGTTGTCCTACCACATCTCTTGGCCTTATCCCTCCCCAATTGACTTGTCTCCAGAGTGGCGCCAGCAGCTGGCTCTCCTCTCACCATCCTCCAGGGCTCCAGTCCCACCTCCATCCCCAGCTCCTGTGCTATTGGGGAGATTTTGCTGCTTTTAGCTGCCCTGGCTGCCCGTTTCCCAATGTTGCATGAGCACGGAGGTCCCCCAAGGGTGGGTGCAGGATGGTCCTGGCTCCCTCACATTGCTCAGGGATGGCTCCGCTGTGTAGGGCACAGCTCAGCAACCAGGGAGGCTTGCCGTGGAGGGGTCCCCGCTCCTCTTCCCCCACCCCAGGACCCCTTTGCTTGTGAAGCTTCCCCACAGCCTCCCATCGTGGGGAACGTACGTCTTCCCAGCTTCTTGTGCAGAAATGCTCGATGGTCTCCCTGACAGTGGCCAGCGGCTGCCCCTCGGTCAGGTTGAGAAACTTGAAGTTATAGTAAAAGGCAGAGAAGGCCTGAAAGGCAGGAGGCAGAAATGCCGTTGAGTTACAGTGGGGAACCCCCCCAGCAGCTGCCCCCGTCTCCCTCGAAGCAGGAGGTGGGCTTTGTCCTTCACCAGGTTTGTCCCACTGTTGCATAGTCCCAGGGCATCGCTGTCCATGTCCCAGCAGAGATGATGGGCTGGGGATGTAGGTGCCCACTGGCTACAGCAGCTCATCGAGCACAGGCAGAGCCTTGCCTCAAGGCTGCTGGCGAAGTTGTTTTTTTTTTAACTGAAAACTTTGTTTTCGACTAAGCACCTGTTTTATTAACATGATCCCGTTTGGAGAACTGGCTGGAAAACCAGATGGCAGCAATCCCCGCTGTGCCCTGGGGCAGTGGTAATTTGGGTGCTTCTTGCCCCCATTCTGCTGCGGGGAGGTGACAGTGCCATGGGGCACACAGGGACACCACAGCACCCCGGGGACATGCTCTGCCCGGGAGGTGGGAGGACGGGATTTGACTTACAATGAACTGCCCGCTGACAGGGGGCTGGTAGACGCCGTCGAAGGTGCAGTCCTGGCTCTGGCCGCACGCCGAGAAGTTGAACAGCTTCTTGACAGCAGCCAGGCACCCGCTGGCATTGCCCCTGCCCTCCAGGGTCACGTTCCTGTCGCCGAGGGTCAGGCGTGGGTCGCTCCGGTTGGTGCAGGGGCTGGTGCGGAAGGAAGACAGCGAGACGGCTTCACTGTAGTCTTTTGGGTAGCAAGGGTGAGCGACTCGCATGCTGGAGGACGACTCCTGGGAATAGCAAAATCACAGGCTGCAGCCTCCTCCAAACCCTCTTGGCGGGCATGCTGGGCGGCAGGGTTCACCCAGCGCTGCCTCCAAAGCCACGGGTGCAGGCATCTCCCGCCTCCTCAGCAGGGAAAGACCCTCCTGCTCTTTGATCCTCGTCTTGTTGGCCGTCTGCAGTCCCAGTCTGAGCTCAACACTAATTCTTGCTCTGCTTTGTCTCATTCCCTCTCCCACGGAGGCAGACCAATTTCAGGGACCCAGCACGTCTCTCCCCTGGCCAGCAGGATCACGGTTTGGGGCACTCAAAGCCCTCTCCACCCCAGCTCTAGCTCTGTCTCTAGCTCCAGCCCCAGCAAGGGACACCACCTGGGACCTTCCTGGCTGTGCAGCATGAGCAAACCCTTCTGGCTTGCCAAGGCTGCTCCTCCTGATAAGATGCAGCTCCGTGAAGACCCTCTTCCCCTCTGACCTTCCAAAAAATGGCCTGAGAAAGATCTCTGGTTCACTTTTCTCAGGTCCGTGCAGTCACAGAGTAGTTGAGGGGAGGTACAGGCGTAGCTGTGCCAGCCCCCTCCTTAAAGTGTGACCAACTAGATCAGGTTGCTCAGAGCTTTGTCCCGTCGAATTCTGAATTTCTCCGAGGATGGCAACTCCACAGCATTTCTGGGCCCTATTCTGATATTTGACCATTCTTATTGGGAAATACCTTTCCCCTGCATCTGGTTGGAAACTCACATGTTCCAGCATGTGCCCGTTGCCTCTTGTCCAGTCACTTTGCACCTCTGAGAAAAGCCTGGCCCTGCCTTTTCTACACCCTGTGCGAGGCAGCTGTGTACAGCCAGAAGATCTCCCCCGAGCCACCCCTTCTGATGCTTCCCACGCTCCTCTCCACATCTGCCTACCCATGCTCCAAGGAGTCTGTACCTGCTCTCAGTCCCTGCTGATGCCTCTCTGGAAGAGCATTGCCTGTTCTTATTTTACGCATTAACAAGTCTGTGGCTGGTATCATGAGACCAGAGTCCAATTACCCACCAGTTCCCCTCTCACCGCAATTAATTCCTTTGCCAGTCGCTTCAGCATCTCGTTCTGCCCGTAGCAGAGGTAGCTGTGTGTGTAGATGTTGTAGTTATACCCGTACAGCGTGAACTTGGAGGCTTCATTCCAGTTTATCACCGAACCCTTGGGCTTAAAGCTGATTTGAGTGGATGCTCCTCCAAGATCCAGCGCCCCAAAAATGTTGGCCGCCTCTGGACGAACCCATGTGTGTGCTTTGGGGGAGTACTGCCAAGGTGAGACAGGAGAGGAAGAGGAGTAGTAGATGGCTGGGCTTACTTGCCCTGAGCAAAATTCTCATCCCGCTGAAGTCAATAGGGTTTTGTTACTAAATTCAACGGGTATTCAATTCCATTCTTTCCGTACGTGAGGCCCCACTGCCTTCCCTGCCCAGCCAGCCTGGCCCCTTATCAGAGCCAGAAAAAACAGGGCTTGAACTGTCTGATGGTCAAGACGTGCCAACGTGCTGCAGGTTCACGTGGCTCTGAGTCACCGGTCCCCAGACCAAAGTGCTGGTGGGGACCTGGCTTGGATGGGCTGCCATTCCTGAAGAGCAGGCTGCAGAGGTGCTGGTGCAAGGGGAAGGACAGAAATCCTCCAACAGCCTGCACAGGAGCCCGGCGGTGCCGGCACCGCTGTGAGCTGTGGCAGTACCGGGACAGAGGGTGGCAGGAAAGAGGTCTGGTTCAAGCTTCCTTCACACTGGCACGATGAACCACAGCTGGGGCCTCGCAGCGCCACACGGAGATGGACCTTCTCAGGGCAGCACGGCAAAGCCTGGCAGGGGCGAACCATCCCTGCTGGGCTGCATGGCCGACCTCGCTGTCCCCAAGAGACCCTGTGTCCACATGGTGCGGAGGTGTGCCCTTAGCTTTTAACAAGGACACCCCCATTCCTGATTTTTCCTTCCTCTTTCACTGTGGGCAAGCCAGAGGATGACCAGCTGCTTCCCCTGGATCATTCCCGAAAGCCGTTAACCCAGACCTTTCCTTCTGTGCTAAGCCAATTGAAGAAAAATCAGAAAAACTGTATTAGCAAAGAAGGAGTGGGTGTTTCACCGTTCTCCCACCTTAGTGAAGGAGTCCAGCAGGTAGTTGACGGTGATCCAGCCATAAGCCCCCTCCTCCTCTCCTGTAAGGATTCGAGCCCCTTTGAAAGCCACGGGGTACTCTCGCATGGTTTTAGCAACTTCGGCCAGGACTTGGTCTGCCGCTGAGCTGTTCTGTTCCCTAAGAAGGACTCAAAGGTCAGGACACATACCCAGCTACATCAATACTACAGAGGAAACGCAAGGAAAGTGTTTTTTTCCCAGTTCCACATACTCCAGTTTTTTGCAACAAGCAGTTTGTGTGAAATGATGATTCCTGCTACATAACTTGCCAAAGCTGCTCGTACAGCGTAAATCCCAGCTGTCTAGATTTGGCATCACAAATCTAAGAGCAATAGCAACCTCTTCCCTCCAGCGCCGCTTCATCACGGTCAGATAGCGGCTTGGCCGGCCCCCTTGCCCTACCTAAGTATCTTCGTAGTGCTGGCGGCCAGAGGGGGTGGTGCTGCAAAACCCAGGTTTGAACATCACCCACTGACTGCGCCAAAGCCAGAGCTGGCTGCTGAGCTCGAGTGAGTCTTTCGGGATGGTGCCAGCCTGGTTTCAGACCTCTGAGTGGGGGAAGATGTCTTGGGGCTGCTGGCATGTGCTCAGTCTCTGAAACGAGTAACCTTCAGGCTATGACCCGGCTCCTTCCCAGGGAAAGGGTCAGATTGCCAGGGCACAGCAATGATGTTAGATATCTGCAACCATAAAACCAAGAAGCATGAAATGAAGGCTGACATTTTAAGAGAGCTAATATGGGCTGGAGAAAGGTAAGGGCAGGTCCCGCAGCACCCTGTTGCCTCCTATCTCTGCCCCGCTCCCCTGCCAGCACCCGTCCGTCTGGGCAGATGGCACATCCACTGGTGGCATCTCAACTCCCTTGTGTTTATGGAATAATGAAGGGCAAACAAAGAGCTCTGAGAAGCATTTCTTGCTTGGAACTGGGCATGCAGCACCATCCTGGGATGTGGGGTCCCAGGATGCCTCTGAGCAGCCTCTGAGCAGCCTCTCTGCCCCAGGACCAATCACTCAGGACAGCTCAGCCACCCGTGTGTCCCCACCGGGCTGCCTTCTCCCCACTCCCCAGTCATTTGCTCACGGCAGCACGTGAGCTGGGAGCTCCTGGCAGCCTGGCCCCATGCAGGACACTGTGTCCTGGCAGTGGCTGGTTGCAGCTTTGGTGGTGGTCTGTCACCCCCCCGCGCCC